TAAAACAATTTTTACGCCGAATGTTTTTTTTTTACTGTTTGTGTGCACAGCCACGAGCGCACACAGGCGGGCAAAAAGAAAAAAAAATAAAACCGAATAATGAGTTTATGTATTTTAAACTGACCTCATTATGAAGAAAAATTGTTTTTGCACACACAGAGAGCGTGGAAGGAACAAGTTGTTAGCAAATGGGAATTTCGAAGAAGTTTTGACTGGCCTAAACCACAGACTGTCACACGACGAAATGTGGAGCGTACAGTAATGTTAATAATTATTCATGGCGATAAGCTAACATAACAATCGAACCAAAACTGTCCTGATAAACAGAGTATTTCGCTTATCTCGACAACCGATTCGATCAGCTGTAAAAAAACTAAAGTGATATATATGCATTTTGTGCATTTCTTAGTGTTTAATGAAGTAGTTATTCCTACGTCACTGTCTCATAACTTAAACTAAAGACTCAATTAATCAAGTGCTTGAAAAATGTGTTTATCTTTTTGCTGCGGAGTTCATAACTTACACACAATTTACGGTACAAGTCTTTTCCGTTCGTACTTATATAAATAATTCTTGATTTTCGGTTATTTATTTGTTCTTGTATCGGAAACGGTTGAAAAAATTGTCACGTAATATTTGTGAAGTGAGTTGCAGATGAGTACGGTTTTTATTTTCTTTGGGGGAGTTAATGTCAGTATAATAACAAATTGGGTAATTGAATTATCGCATAGTTGTTTAAGATGATTATGTTTAAATGATATACGGGTAAAAGCAAATGTTTCTATTGGTGATTCTATAATAATCATGGTGATATTTAAATTGAAATAAAAGTGTATTGTGTATTAATTTACCTTAAAAAATTGCGCATTTGCGGCATTATCTCATTTGTGTCGACCACTGCAGTCAACTTTCGGCACTCACTGTAATTTTAATTTAATTTAATTCTAAGCACGTCTGCGAGAAAAATATAACCAACAACTGTAATTACGTTTTTGCAAAATACGAAAGAACGCAAAAAAATAATGCTCAAAGAGACGAAGAAAAATTGGCAAGAACGAGAAGCGGGGAGAATTCTTTTGAATTCTTTTTTATACCCTTGTAGAGGGTAATATAATTTCATTCAGAAGTTTCCGGCGCAAGTATATATATATTCTTGATCAGCTTCTACGCTTTTAGAAGAAGTTGCTTTAATTTTAGGTATATGTGCCTTAAATTTAAGCCTTCCATAGCAAAATTTAGGAAAACATGACCTAAAAAAACTTTTAAGGCAGTAATGGCCATTAATTTTTTTTTTATATTCTTTAAGATATATTAGTCGCTTAGTATTTTAGAATTAAAGTTACAATCCTTTTTAAATCGGACATTATATAGCTCCCATTAAAAAATCATTTTTGTTGTTTGTTTTTGTTGTTTTTTTTTAATATTCTTTATTATATAGTAATGGTTATGTATTTTAGAATTACGGTTAAATAAAATACGACGACCGTATTGTAATAATGGTTTATTCAGAAAAAATTTAATTTAATTTAATTTTCATTAAAATCGGATACAATACCAGCCTGCCATAGATACGATTGAATAATTAAGCGTAAAATCATCATAGCTTCACTGTTGTTAAATAAATATAGGCATAAAAATCAGAATATTGTTATATTAAGGAATATTTTATTAATTGCAGTAGCTGCAAGGGTATATAAATTTCAGTTTTTCGAATTCTGTTTAGTCTCTTGTTTTTTTTGTTTGAAGATGCCAGGAGTTGATGTTGAATTTCACCCAGCCCACAGCCACCCCCGCCCCCTTTGCGGCTACATCGTCAGATTCGCGGTTTTCTAAACGGTGATTTAGCCATTATGTTAACGGTAAAATGTGCAGAATCTCCTGGCCATGCGAAATGAAGTTTCTTTTCTTCGCGATGGGGCCCAAAAACCAGTTTTTGTCTCAGGTAGAAGAGGGGGCTCTTTGCTTTGGGCCTTCGTCGTCGTTTGCTTTGTGCAACTGATTCGCTTCTTTCGTGTGTTGCATAACCCGCGTATTAAGTTGCCTCGTTGTCATCGCCATTGTCGTCTTGGCCAAGTTATCTCCATTCGTCTTTGAGCTTCTGTTGTCGCCTTGTTGGCACGGTTCTAAGCCGGTCTTGTTGCGAGGTGGGCTAATTTTGCTCGGGTTTTAACCTCTGCACTCAATCACTTATTTCGCAGTTTGACAGTTGCGGAAATACAAATAAATATTATGTTTACTTACAAAATTTACAGGCTATAAATAAATGGTAAAAAGAAAGGAAAAAGGGAGGGGAAAGAAGAAGATAAGTGGAACCAGTCAACAAAAAAGGAACATTACCATTATCACAAATGCATTATTTCTTGTTTACATTTTTCTCGCTCGCCGCTCTCCACAATTTTGTCCTTGTCTGCGCTGATAAAAATAAAGTCCAGTCCACAAACAGAAATAATTTGAACGCGACGTCGCGACGATAATAATGTAAACAAATGAAATTGTTTTCTTCGTCATATTTTCCTTCCTCCCGTCTCGTCTGGCGACTTGTTGAAACTATTTCAAGCGCAAAAAGAAACTTAAACATCGTCAGCTCGTCAATAATATCGCATCCCGTGCAGTCAGCTCTGGCGTTCAATTAACATGCTTTTGTAAAAATGTATTCAATCTCTTCTTTTATTAAGTGGCATGTTTGAAGGCTATTGCTTTCTTTCGATTAGAAATGCTGTATGGGAATTTAGTGGCTGATAATAAATACATATACATTTTTAGCTGATAAATTTACGATTTAATGAAGTAACTTTTATCAAACATTTTCTATTTTATCCTTATTTAGAAATAGGAAACATAAATCAATAAAAAGTAGTGTGTTAATTTATTTTTTTACCGCCTTTAAAAAGATGTATTTATGAAAAAATATATAAAATAGTATAATAAAATATTTTAAACAATTACCCACATTTGATTTGATATTATATTTGAGTCTTGTGTTAAGAAATAAGTATATTTTAATTTCTTATAATTATTTTCTATTCAAAGACAAGACAACTTTTTAATTTCCAAAATACTTTTAGTCTGGCATCCGTTTGTCCTGCTGCCCAACTCACAAGTATTCTATACAATATTAAAAGATGTGATTCCTTGTTTTAATCAATCAAATGACAAACAGACTGGAAGAAGTGATATCAGAAATGTTGTATGTTGTTTTTGCGCTGCCATCCATTCGTCGTCACTTGATGTATCTACTAGATACTCGTACATGTGTATCTATGGATCTGCTAAGCTCGCACAAAGCAACAATTATAAACAATGACAAGAGCAGCAACAGCAACAGCAATACCAACAGCAATAGCAATAGCAACAACAACAATGAAATGCATTATTATTATCAGCAAAAATACATGACAAAAGAATGGACAGAGCGAGAGGGATTTAATGGAGATATTATGGGGAGAGAATAAGACGGGGAGATTATGCTTCTGCTTTTGGCTTTTGTGCCACGCGTACAGGAAATTATATAAACAAGTTTCTGGGCATCGGGAGGTTGGTGGGGGATTGGTTGGCTGGGGAAAAAACAATGAGAAAAACGCAATGCAGTCGCAGTTGCTGCAGTTTCATACATGTGTGTGTATCTGTATGTGTACTTCGTATGGCAACAGAAAATGTTGTTGATGTTTTAAAAGCAAATACAATAAAGCATTCTCCTCATGCCACGAACACTTGCATACATCCACATATACACATGGATATGCATACATATATGCATAAGAATGCTCCATGCGTGTGAGGAAAACTCTTTTGGGTGGTGGCTGCTGACGAGTTGAGTATACGACACGTTGGCCAAGTGAGGAAAGTGAACACAATAACAAATAAACGAGTGGAGAAGGAAAAACTGAAAAATGAAACTTTAATTTGCGCAGAATCTGGAGATTATGCAGCTTATGGCAGATAATACTGTTTGTTTACAAGCAGCTTACGAAAAGAGTTCGTCATTGCTAAAGCGTATTAATTTAAAAAATGTTCTAGCTAGAAAATATATATTTTTTTAAAAGGGATATTTTCAGAAAGCTGCATTAAGCCATTTTCTGTGCCACTTAATTGAACTCTGAATGAAAATGTTTTTTTTTAAATTTGGGTAACGCCCACTTTTATCAAAAGAAAATATATATATTCTAAAAATAATCTTATTGCTCGAAAACGTTGGATTAGTGAAGATTTAAAAATGCCAAATTTTACTTAATAGCTCAAAGCTTATTTTAAAATAATTGAATTACCTATTTGCTATTTTGCTCAATGCTTATTTTATAATAATTTAATTACCTATTTGCTATTTTTGTCTGCATAGAAAACCAAACAATCAAAAGAACCTATTCAGGCAACTCATTTTGCAGGCGGAAAACCTTTGTTGCAGCCCCTCGAAGCTCTTTCTTTGAATCATTTTCTGAGATACATTTAGGCTTAAGCCCTAACCCTTGCTTGCCGAAAAAAGTTTGGGGGAGGGGAGAGGCTTAGGAGAACCTACACTTTGCCCACGGCAACACAAAAGAGGCCTCAGTCAGTACCTTCCCCTTTTAAAAAGGGGTCCAAAAGCCCCATCTTCTTTCCTTCACCTTGCACAGACACACACTTGGCGCCTTTTACTCATTTGGTCTTGGGTTTTGCTAGGGTTTTCTTTTTATTTTTTGGGTTTTCATCATCAGGCGAATGGGGATGGTGATGGTGATGGTGATGGCGATGGTGAGATGGCGATGATGATGGAGAAAGGGGGCTCGGCTCTAAGTGTTTCTTGTAACTTGAGTCTTCAAGTGGCCAGCTGGCATTTGCTTTTGCCAGTTTTTCTTGTTTTCTCGGGGTCTCTTTTCTCTGTGTGTTTTTTTTCAAGTGCGGCAACTTATGTCAAGCCTAGCGTTTTGTTAAAAGTAATACTGTAAAATATATGAACAAAAGATATGAACAAATGAAAAAAATGGTAATAAAATTTCCTTTCTCTCTCTCTCTCTGTTTTGCAGTGTTTCATTTACGTTTCGTACGCGATTTTTATGTGTAGACATCAAATCAACGACAAACCAGAAATTAGCAGCATTATCATCAGGAAAACCAGCAACAACAACGAAGGGCACATCTAACGCTTCGGCTAACAGATGAGCCCCAACAACAGATGTCAATTGCTGCAGCCGAAAATGCAGGGTAAGTTGGGGTCAAAGGGGCACACGGCGGGCTCCAGAGGGTTAAGTGTGGAGCCTTATGGCTAATGAGGTAAATTGGCTAAAACAATGGCAGCTGAATGGAGACTGAGTCTAGTGGGGTGGGCAAAAGAGAAAAGTTCAAAGAACAAACGTGACTTTAGCTTAAATCGTAAAATAATTATGGCTCTTATGTATATATATTTTTGGTTAAAGCTACAAACATAAGCTTGTATTTAAAAGCCTTCTTAACTGAATAAACATAAAAATAATATTTGAACATATTTTAGACTCGAAAGAATTAAAATTTCTCTACCATGCTGCGTATAAGGATTTTTATTCTGAAATGGCTATAGTTAGTTTAGTTTCAAAAATAATTTGACTTTAGCTTAAATCGTAAAATAATTATGGCTCTTATGTATATATATTTTTGGTTAAAGCTACAAACATAAGCTTGTATTTAAAAGCCTTCTTAACTGAATAAACATAAAAATAATATTTCAACATATTTTAGACTCGAAAGAATTAAAATTTCTCTACCATGCTGCGTATAAGGATTTTTATTCTGAAATGGCTATAGTTAGTTTAGTTTCAAAAATAATTTTGAATTAAATATCTTTCTTTTAATTCCCTAATTATTTAAAAGTTTATTAAAAGCAAATTTAGATTTTTTTTCTGACTGCGTGTAATAATTTTAAAGTTAAACGAAATATTTAATAAAATCAACTCAAATGCCCAATGATTTGCAGACTATGCTTGCTCCTATCCAGCCTTACTATATGTATATGTACTTGAAATGGAAAAAACCTTCATTTATCACAGAGTCGATGGCCCCCTTCCCCTCCACCCGAAATGTCTGGGCTAGACATTTAATCTGAAATGTTATAACTGTGCTCCTAACACTCATGTGCCAGTCATTAGAAGCTCATTGAATATTGCGACATCACGCCTGTGGTATTTGTATTTAGTTTTTCGGCTACGCCCCGACGAAATCATTAATTGCAAGCTCTCTAGCCAGAGAATCTTTAGAGATACAGAAAACGTTATATCTTAAGGTGAACTACGCTCTTTTCAGAGACTGCATTCTATCTCTAACTGACATCCAATTCCCCTGTTTTCCTTGTTTTTCCTATAACATTTGGCGCATATTTCGGCATTTGATTTATGGCATCTTAATTTTTTCGTTGGACTTTTTTAGGTGTCCCCGCGTTCATTTCTTTTTCTTGGCCGCCCCTGCTCATAATTTCTCTGTGTTTTTGTGGTGGTATTTATTTTTCTTTGGTATTTTGATTGAAATTGATTTTATTACCCACTTTTTATTAGTTTAACTTGAATGGTGTGTGAATGGGAATTATGTGGCGAATTTTATGGTTGTTTTTTCGCCCTCTGCTTGAGTTTTACTGTCTAACGAACTTGTTTGGTTTTATATATCCAAAGCAGCAGGGTCTATGGCAAGTGGCATTTGGGATTTCGAAAGCAGTTGGACGATAAAAAGGGCGCCTGGCAACCATGGGTTAATAGCTGGCTTATCTAATGCCCGTTGCTTGATCGATTAATAAATACAACAATTTTGGTAAAAAGTTCCCTAATAAAGTTTGTGATGCCCACTAAATTTTAAAGCATTTCTCTCCCATTTTTTACCCGCCTGTTACTCAACTTTTCCCTCAATTAAACTGAAATCAACAGGCACTCATGCAAATCAAACGTTCAGGCCCAACAATAATTACAAGTTTTCCCAAAACTACAGTACAGTTACAGTTTTGGGTAACAAAAAATTATAACATTAAGCAGCTAGTAAAAAGAATTAAAACGATATTATTCATAGGTTTTGTACGTAATTATAAGGAGAAACGTGAATTGTTTTTATGCTTGGTGTTGATATTTTGCAGCCACTAATTGTCATTGAAAAAAAAGTGAAAGTGAGCATTAAGAGTCTAGTGTAGACGCACCACTTGAGAGAGCAAAAACGTTTAATAAGTTTGGCATGGCCAGAAAAATGGCAAAACCATCAATGTGATGAGTAATTCCCAAAAATTTTTCCATGCCAACCTAGGCCGAAATTAGCTTTTGTCTTTGCCTTATTTCGTAGGCCTATGAAATAGTTTTTTTTTTTTTTTTTTTTTTTTGAACTGGCAGTGCAGCAGCCATGAAATGTGAAACAACTTTATTTCATTGTCAGTGCGTCTCTTAACTTCATGGCTCTCTGGAAAACCGGCTCGAAAACGCTGAAAATAAAAGAGAAAAACCAAAAATGATTACGCTTGCAAGCCGAAACTAGAAAATGAAAGTGAAAGTAGGCCAAACTCATCAGCATGCTCGATTCCCCGCGACTTTGACTCCGACTTGAGCTCACCGGGTTTGGGTCTCTGTGTCTGTAGGCCTATCTAATATCTCCATGTACATGGATGGCCGCAGAAAACAATGCAATCACTCTACCCATTATTGCCAGTCCACAGGTCCACAAGTCCACAAGTCTACAAGTCCACATCACTCCATTCCACTTCGGTAACGGTGGCTTCGATGGTCGCCGGGGATTTGACTTTGCTTCACTTTCGTTTTCAGCGAGTCGGCCTATGAAGAAAAGTGAAAATAATTCAGTGAAAATCGTTTCTTTCTGCGCCGCAGCGGGAAAGCGAGTTTTGGGTTTTGAGAGCTTGCTGGTTATGAAATTGGTCTGGTGTGGGAATTAATTATAGTGGGATTTAAATATGTTTAATATTAAATATGGAACTCACACAAATGGAATCTAAATGATTCAGGATTAATTGGCTAGGGATAGCATTTAATTTGTCATTCATTTCACTTGGTTATTTAAAATTATTGTTCAAATATATTATGCAATTCATTCAATCGTATGTTACTGTTAGAATAAAAAACTTTCAAATAAAGCTATAGCAAAGACCACTATTATATTAAATAAATGGTATAGTAATATAGTATTTAAACATTAGAGAAGAATAAAATCATTGTTCAGTGGCGACTGGTTTTAATTGGATTGCATTGGACTTGGATTGACCGTCGATGATAAGATAAGAGTATATATATAGAGATAAGAAAACATCAGATTTTAGTTTAGTCCACTCAAGTTAATATTTCTCTCACTAAAATAGCTGTCTTTTGATCATCAATTAAATGGCTAATTGATCCCTGTTACCATTACAGCTTCTATTTCCCCAAAAATACCCCAACTTTTGTCACACTCCAGTTGGCCCGCAAGTGAATTTGTTACTTTATCCAGTGGCCACAAAACAGGACTAACTCTGTACGACAGGAAAATAAATTGAAAAGGACAAGGGCCAAGGGAAAGGGGGCGTGTAGGACTGGACAAACCATCTATAATTTACTTTTTAAGCGCCTGAAAACATACATTTTCCATTTGGCAACAGCGATTTTCAGAACAGCAACAACATCATCGACGATAACGATACCGATTGCCACCCACACACACACAGCAAGGGAAACAGCAATCGACACTTGGCAACGCCCGACAACAAAAATTAAATTCGTTTCCCCATCTCACTCAAACGCTCTCTTGGCGAGAAGAAATTATAAGCCGCTTACATAACAATCAATGCCACTAAGACTGCAGGCCCGTTTTACCATTTTATTGACAGTGGCGTACCCAAAAAGGGTCCCTAAATCCCCGTATAAAAATATATTTAAATTAAAAAAAAAGTTTTTTAGCTCTTAATACCGTTTTCTTAAGGTCATTGCTGTTTCAAAAACCTTAACTTTTCCAATATCAATATTGGCCTTCTATCATATTTCAATATAACCTGCAAAGATTTGTACTTCCGAACTATTTAACCTCTTGTTAACTATAACTTACTAATTACAAGCTTGCATCTAAACCAGACATTGAGAAATCCGATCTTATTGTTGCTGTCTTTCTGATCCTCTTTGAATCATATATTTACTTCTTTTGAAGATTTACTAATTACTTCTACTAGAATCTGCATGCCAAGTCTTAAATCTCTAGCTTTTATAGTCCCCGAGATGTTGATCCTGATCAAGAATATACAATATATAATTTATACTCTGCGAGTAACGGGTATAAAAATGAAAATTTTTGCAAACCTCAAAACAGCTTGATATATTAATTAAGCCCCCCATGAATGCACATACATTTCACTACGCCCCTGTTTCGTAGGCCTCCAGTAGAGTGTGAGAATGTTGCGATGGTTTTTTGCTCGCCCTAATTGCGATGGGCGTGGCAGGCAAATCAAATTTGTAAACAGATTTTCGTTGCCACGGGAGGGGGTAAATGAAGACTCTTGGTCGGTCGTGTTGCTAAATTTTCCTTTGCTGAATGCAATCAGGCAACTGGGAACTTGAGGAAAATTCCGAACAAAAAACAAAAATACCAAGAAAATGGTACAGAGCTCGTCTCGTTGACGCCCCATAGGAAAGTTTTTTTTTATTTTTTTTTTATGACTTAAGCTTTGTTGTTGGCCCGATATTTTGTCATTCCCTCGCTGAAATTCTCTTGTTCCATCGAGCCCCCCTACCCCCGTAATCCCCGAGCCACTCGCACCACCCACAAACTGTCCGTTTCTTCATGAAAAGCATTTGCGCAAAGAGAAAAAATTATCGCATTTTATTTTCATCCTTATCAGACGCATTTTCCCTCTGGCTCACTCCCTTTGTGTCGCCTAACCGAAATTTATATGCAGACAGCGCGATATTGCAGTTTGTGTTCTTTCTTTCCCTCTACGGATATTTCCCCCTCTGCGAGTTAGAAAAATAATTTTCGCTTCTGCTATTACACATACATAGTTTTGTTCTTCATTTTTCCTTGCCTTTCTTCTGGGCAAATTGCTTTCAATTTTTTATAGTTTTTTTTGGACTGCATATGGTCACAGCAGACTAAACAGATATTTATGGGAATGTGTATAAATACACTTGACAAAAATGACACAAAAAACCATTTTAAAGCAGTTTTTGCATGAATTTTATTAAATATACTTAAATATGTATTTCAATTATTTGGATTCTAATGTTGTT